CGCTGGGAACGCAGTTGAATGCACACTGGCTGAAATTTGAGTAAATGGATTAATGCGACTCAAGTTTAAAAAGGCTCACATTCAGTCTGTTTCAGAATCACAGGGAATATCTGTCGAATTTCAAGGGATTGCACAGATGAGAATTAGACCGAAAATAACACGCTAGAAGAGGGATAGTACGAGGACAAATAACACAAAATTTCTCGCAAAATCGGGGGTATACAGATTGAAAGTTAGAAGTTGGCACAAGAGGTAGAGAAGATTGCACTTCAGGGGAACGCAGGTAAGACAGAGGTGATAAGGATACCTAACTAACAATATCAAGCAACAACTAGCATCAGAAGATACCATATTGTAGGACCATGTATGTGATATGGACGACAAATCGGTATCAGGTAATACAGGAATAGGACTCATGCGCATTCCACAGGCCTTGAGTAAACTGAATAAGAGGTGTCTGTAGAGTTTTGAACATTCAGTGTCTCGGTGGTCAGAGTCAGCGTGTAAAAGCACATACATATGCACAAAGAAACATGCCCGGGACCACTAAGTCATTAGTTTGTGAGAACCGGTCTCCATATTGGCGGAAGACAAGAAGGCTGTCATTACTTAATCGTGTAATGTTTGGAAGAATGGAGATATATGATTAGAAGTATTGTTGTACGTTGTATTAACGTACATTTACCCATTTTGGAATGGATTAACTCCTGTGACCTCGTTTCGTAATCCCTGGACGAATAAACAGTGGTGTTGCCACACCGCCTCTACTTGTTTTTTTTTTTTTTTTTTTTTTTTTTTTTTTTTTTTTTTTTTTTTTTTTTTTTTTTTTTTTTTTTTTTTTTCGATGTTTAGGAGTGGTTCGTTTGACAATTGAATCCAGACATCACACGTGAATGATGCACGTTTCACTATTGAACCGCCGACTCATCACTCTGGTGTTATGTGCTTATAACTACGCAAGTCGTATTTCGAAGTGTTTATACGTCGTCAGGGTAAACGTGATGTCGAAAATTTCGCGTAATTAAGTGAGATCTTGGTAAATTACCAACTCTCATTGACAATTTCGAAAAATGACCAGTTGTTTTTCGCCTTTAATCGATTCACTGAATTGGCAACGCTGAAATAAAATTTATGAATCATTCCTTTTGCCGTATGAATAATTACGGCTTCACAGCTGATTGACTATACCTAATTTAGTCAAAGTGATTTCTCGGTGTTTATTTCACCTTGATATCAATTGACAACACTCCTGAGAAAATGCAGTTTTCAACCATTCGCATTCAGCAGCATTATATAGAATCTAGCATGAACAGCATTTTCGTGAAGAAAGGAAATCGGTAGAAATTGGAATCCACAAATCGCTTGAGGCACGAGATTTCATGGCAACTATTTCGCGGAAACGTCTATCGTTATTCCGTCTGATCATTCACAAAATTAAATTGAGTCCCTAATTGACGAGGATACCACTCTCCTATACAGCAAATGTATATGAAGTCATCATTGAAAAGTCATTGATGGGTATATATAATTATGACCACAGTATTATTTCTCCTTTGAAATCATCTGATATTTCAAAATGCATTCAAATGTCTTGCAGTCATCAGGCAGGCGATTCCACATGGTATTTATTTCCAATTGGAACGTATTTCACTGAAGTACATATGTGTTATCTGATTGATACAAATTTCTTTAGATAATGGAGAATATCCATCAGAACATTAGAGAGAAAAGAATAAGCAGTTCAGCAATGATATCATTCCAGTGACTTCATTCTCAAAAGCTTCACACTCAAACTCACATGCATAAGTTTACATAGATACAATTAATTATTCATCCCACATAATAATGAAGGAGACTAACGGTGACAAAAGTTTTCAACCTGATGTGAAAGTGTTATATGCACACCTTCGAAATGTCATATGAAAGTGAAAACTATTGTCACCTTTAATTACTTTCGTTTTAATTCATATTTCTCAGAGAGCAACCTCTAGTTCACCGAATTATTTATTCTGTATTCTAACTTATACAAACTTAATGAAGTTGAATGTCATAATGATGTGTCAGTATTGATCTTGACGGTCGCTGAGTGCCTGTTTGAACTGACCACTAATTACCGTTTGTCTGAATTCCTTGACAACACTTAGACAGGAGAATGAGATACCTAACTCATCATAATCCTATGACTGATTATAAAAGGACATTTCACAATGAACATTCATCTGTTTCGTGCGAATATGCGTCACGAAATTCAACCTAATTACAATATTAGTCATTCACATTAACTAATTCGAATGTTAGTTATGACCGAGGTGAATGGATATAAAAGGCATGTTGGTGTGTTAGTGAACAAGAGTGACAATCAGAACACGTGGACAGTCTCAGTTCAAATAATGCTTCGATCAACCGAGATATATGCAGCTCATGGAAGAGGATGAAATTAGGTGGTCAATGTTTGCAAAAGTGTCTAAGGTTGTTCAGTACTGAGTATCTCTGCCACATTCATCCGATCCAATATCTTACAGAAACTAGTCTGAGTTGACAGAACTATTAAACGACAATTGGATTGTGGTTGTTCGATGTGACGACAGATAAGTGAGATGAATCTGTGGCTTAACCATACTCCATAAAACGAAAGTAAGCTTCCAATCACCACACGAGAGAAAGTAGAGAGGAAGGAGTGATGAGAGATTGAAGATGCCATGTACAAATAACGGACAACCACAGACACGAAAGCACCATCTACTAACAAGATGTATTCTATCTAGGATACATTACACTTACTACTGCATTTCTTACTGAGTAACGCAATAGCCTCATCAATTTACATCGAAATCTTGTATACTTCAATGTTTCTCTTGGATGCTTAAATAACTATGGAATATGAAAATCTATGTGATAATTCCTGATCTGGAAATCATAGTTACTTGGCGCTAGTGCTTATGTAACATCCAAGTGAGTGATGTCAGTCATTTCAAACCACTCGTCTCAATCAGTCAGCACTGTGTAGCCTCATGCATTGATGCTTGCATTCGTGACTGTCATTCGTGGTACCAAGCAGATCAGATATTGTGATCTGAGTGATTCTAGATATCCAAGTGAACGGTGATGAAATTTTACCTGGAAATGTGAAGATTGCGATATGCAAATTCATCTGCAACCTGAGAACTTAATTTTCCGTATAAGCAGTCCGCACAAGTGTACATCTAGAAATCCGGGTATTTCAGTTGATTCGACATTTCGAGCTGAGTTGAAGGCCGCAAGTAGAGGTCACAAGTGGGCGAAATGTATCTCCGATATATGAATCCCTTCGATCAGGCTGACAATCACTACTGGCCCACGTAGGCGCTACGCAACTTCTCACATCAACCGATCAGTAATATATAGGCTCATGAAGACATCCTATTCCTACTAACGGAATATCTGAAATTCTCATTCATTCATTTATCAGATGTATGACACACTGGAACAACATCAATTACAACACAAGTTTTCGAACACAATCTATTGTATGTAATCTAGCGAGAATCAACTGTGGAAGACACTTTGTCACTCAGTAATTAACACAGTTTCAATGTGTGATGAATCCGTTGAACAAAAATAACACGGAATTACATACTACCAAAGTGTCCATGTTTTACACACGTACGTTCACAAGTCTCTATGAAGTGTAGAGTCCAAGGAACGATAAAAGTCGAGAGTGATTATCAGCAAACTTGGTATATTTCTAATAAGAAAAATAATTTCAGTTGAACTGAACACACCTAAAATGAATATGAGACAAATATCAATTGTACACAAGGCAAGAAATGTTCCAATTTGTCAAAGTGTTTTTGCAAGCTGAATTCACACGACACTGATTGATTTTCACTTCTACACTTGTATTCATGAACAATGCAATCAATATTTCGAGTATTGATGCCCACCACCATAATGATGTTTGTAGTTTTTGTCATATTTTGGACAGTTACCATAGTCTTTCTTGTGACCTCGATTATAACCACCGTGACCGTGCTTCTTACCATAACCACCTTTACGACCGCCGTAATAATTTTTGCCGTGTTTATAATCCTTGGAATAATTACCATAACCATAACAATGATGGCCATGTTTGGGAGAACCTTTGTATCCGCCCTTCTTAGAACCATAAACGTCATTATGACCATGGTGGGAACCAGACTTGTTTTGGTAACCATGTTTTTGATTCTTGTAATCACCGGATTTATAACCATAGTGGTGACTGGAATAGCCGCCTTTGTCGCCGCCATACCCACCACGAAGCAATTTCGATCCAGAAGTTACAGCTGTGACATTATCACCACTGTCAGAAGAAGATTCAGTGACATTGGCAGGATAATCGCTAGCACGAGTTCCCTCTTCTGTTCCATTTAACTCCTTTCCCGATGTAACGCGTACGGTTGAATTGTTGTCTGAATATTTGACAGCCAAGCGTGTAATAAAGAAAAAAGGTGGAAGTTAATACAAACACAAAACAATTAATATCCTTAATCACATTAGATTACACTGAATGAATTGTCACAAAGAGACGGATATGCCTTAAATAAAACAAACAACAAATAGTTATCCATTTTGACGTGTGGCTGACAGCCACATGACAGAATAGTACTGACGACACATTCCATCCGAACTGGTCTGATATAAGAGAAATGGCTCCTAGCAATTTCTACAGCAATGAGAGAAGACATATAAGATATTCTGATGAATAACTGGTAACAGCCGGGAGGATATTCACGACGTCGAATAGAAAGGATAATCTGAAACTGAATAAATGAATGGTTGTGGTGAATCAAGAAATCGACAAATCGACACGCAGAGAAAACGATGTGTTAGGAAAAGCGATATCAGAAGGAAAATGAGAGGGCAAAATGCATTGTCCAAAACATCGTCAATCAATTGCAAATAACCTTTCGGCTAATGGATATATATACATATATACATATACAAAAATGAATGAATCGTTGATGTCCATGAGGAAAACCTACCTTCATCGTGTACACTGACAGTTACTGGTTCGGCCAGAAGGAACTCGCAGTAGAACAAGGTAAGAAGGAGAGTGATAGCCAGCCTCATTGTGATGCTAAAGGCAAGATAAATGGAGAGAGGATTTCAATAGATGTTAGATATATAATCACATAGTACAAATTGAAGTGGTTCAGTATTGGGACAGAGTGTGGAGAATTCATGCACTTACTCAGTCGAATAGTCGTCCTCGGATTTTCGAAACCGATATCAAACTCTGCTGAGACACGAGGAAATTCTCATGCAATTCTAAAACATGCATCGCTTTATATACTCACAAAAGTGTAGGCGAGTGAATAAATCAATGAAGTAGAGTGTCACGCACTGATTCCACCAACCACATATAAGTCACAATTGTATTCATCATGCAGGTCAAGTGTGATTCATGCAGTGAGTGACATTTGAACTTGACATTCTGATAGAAAAGAAACAAAGATTGAATCATCACTTCACGTACAGAGATGTCTATACACATGTAAAGAAATAAACAGCGGAAATCACAATTGTGGTGTGATCTCGTGACAGAGTATCACTGCAAATCAGCGTGATGATGTGATGACCTCACGTTCAACGCATGGATTTACTCTCATTTCACTGCAACATATAACTCACCTACAAAACTGCAGTCAGATTATCAGATGCACCACATCAGAATGACCTGATCAACACAAATGAGGATTTAGAAGAAATTTCGGTGAGGAGAGTTTCCCTTAATGACGGTATCATATTCCGATGGCTGCATAATCGCATTTTTATTTACTGGAAGATGTCTGGTAGTCTAGAATTGGATGTAAGAGGTGGCGGAGGGATGTAAGTGATACAGTTACTCTGATAGGATTACTGAAGATACGTGAGATTAGAAAAAAAGCCTAACTCAGACAATTAGATGACGATAGAGCTGGACCAAGCAACAGACAAGGAGACAGTTGGAGTAGGGCCTCGAAATTCGATAATATGCGAAATGTCATTCAATGAGATGGAAGCCAGCGAATGAATGTCCAACTGATAAGTGTGAGGAAGGTAAGAGTAGATAAAATTTAGTGCAATAGTCATGTGAGCGTGATAGTAGTGAAGTAACTACTTGAAGTAGAAGCGAACCACAACTCTGCTATAATTTGGCTATACATTTCAAGCAATTTTAACAGTCGACACCAGTAGAGTAACGTGACCTGAATTCAACGGGTGCTTGACAACTGAGCTAGTAATTATCTTTGATCGCAATCTTGGTAATCATGCTGAGGGGTGTTTGCAGATTAGCTTGTGGGTTCAATATAAGCAGTTTCACAGTGACAAGTGAATTTACCAACAAAACCTGGATTCGCCCAATGAAGAAGTTTCCGTTACATAATTTCTGATCGACATACTGGTGGAGTTATGATTCCAAACTGTCTTTAAATTCTATATCTTCTCGATTTTCTAGATGAAAATGGGACGAGCTTTTCTTCATCATCTAGTCTACTGTTGTTCGCTAAGAATCAACAATTTGAGCATTAGTAAACTGGGCATTGCTGCACTGACTGTATGAGCTTAATGTTGTTGGAATAATGTTATCTATCAATTTCCTATGAGTTGACAAATGTCTTAATAATGAGGTTTTTACTGATCCGTGTCTCTCACATTTGTGGTGTCGCTGCTTCCATGTTTCCTCTCTCACTCATTGAATAATTTATTTTCCAGTAGCTAAATGTGGTCCGTTTCTCACACAGATAGAATGACTTACTGGGCCATCAGAGTGATAAGTTTTTCTCGATCTGAGCTATTGTATAATTAGAAATTTTAACTCTATATAGAACAGTATACCTAGCACTATTTGAATTCCACAACTTTTTGTTCCGTCCGTGTTTTTCTGTTTGTACATTCACGTTCAAAATATCTTCCTGTTTAAGACTGGCTGAAAAAGAAATAGGTTCAGTGGGAGCGACCTCACTGAAGAAAAGGATAACAAATCTGAGGATATCGTTCTCTTCTTGTATATGCTGACACCACTTATTTGATTAACTAATTCAAATGAATCTACCACACTAGGATGATTGAGATTATTTTCAATATGTAGAGAGATATCGATGAGGCATCTACGAAAAGCTTGGTAAGGAGAATCGGACATGTCAAGGATTGGAAACTGTTGTTCTTACTCTCGGTGCAAATTCTGAGAACATATGAAACGGTGGTTAGAGGGACGAGCAATTATCGCAGTGTGACACTACACATTTTTGGCCAGTAGTAGTTCGATGCACCAAAATCACGCATCGATAGGCACATTTTAACCGCTGAAACAGGTCTGCTGGTATGTAGCAATAGCAAACGAATTCACTCGAGACTAACCCTATCTCATTTGGGATGTAAATTAGTGTGTGGATCAGACTTCGTGTTAATTTTCACAAGCCTTCAAGCACAAGCAATCATAAACACGTAAATATCCTTCCCAGTATCCAGTCAGAGGTTAATCGGTCTCGGATAGTGCGTTTATTAAATGAATAATTCGTCTGAAAATGATTGCAAACAGCCCGACAAACCATCAGGAGAACTACCAGAACCACCACAGGAACATCATACCAGTTCAGTGCAATCATCATGGTTGGTGATAGGCTGTCACTAGGATAAGTGAAGTGTTGTTCTGACTTCATTATTATGTTACTAGTTATCTTCTTAGGACGTTCGGTATATATCCAGTAATACAACCAGAGTGGGAAAGTAGCTTCATAGTCACAGACAACGGTATTGGAAATCGATCATCTATTGGCGGGAAAATCTACGATAGCCAAGAATTGACAGAATTTCAACAACCTAATTGATGACGATCGAAATTGGAATAAATATCTGAGTGTGATGGGAGCAGTCACAATAAAATGACCAGGAGAACAGTTGGGTCTGATGGCTGTGTTGGTCGAGTGCCAGTTTGCCTCATAATCTGTTTTCTTACAAGTACTGATGTTTTGGAGTTATTGTCGAGAGGAGATTGTAGTTATTATCGGAATATTACTTTACATGTGAATCCTATGTGAAGAAGAAAGTACTTCGGAACTGAATATGCTGACACATTTTGTACCGTATATTCGCATAATGTTTTAAATAAAGCTTTATTATTATTATTGGTAAATATAGTGTACTTTCTTCCAACTTGTACACGATTGAATCATTCGCGCCTTCGAGTTGTCCGCCGATGTATACCAAGGTCAATGAACCAACGTTTAATATTCACGTTCATTTACATCCAGTGTATTCCGATGTAAACACTTTTACGTTGACAAGAATTCCTACTAGGTCTCTTTTCTGTTAGGAGATTGGCAAAATGTGACTTGATACTTGGCCTATCTATGTTTCTCAGGTAGATGGCGTCAAACACAGACGTTATTCATTTTCAATGTACATATCGATTCAGAAACATCGTTCTACTTTAATGCATGATCAAATGGCGGCAGTGATATTCACGAGTATTTTCGTAGGTCTGAACGAATCAATAGGCAACACCTAGTATTTCCTCAATAATGCTAGTCATGCTTCATACTCCACTGCTCATAATCCCGTGTACTGTATGTTGGACAAGGGTAATAGCCTAGTGAGCGTCTCACTATACTGGTAGTCACGTCTTGGAAATCTCATCGAATGACCTCAGTTTATATCGAAATTAAGGCCTTATATTAAATATGTTTGCATTGATGGATGTAAAAATTCGGTGCTCAAAAATGCATTCTCAATGATGTCTACTTCACCATAAGTGAACGTCTCGATGGACATGTGTGATGAATTAACTGGTAATCACAATGGTGCTTTCATCAGCTGGTACAAGTATCTCTGTTCTAGACAATATATTCGCTGTCTGACATGCGATTGTCTTCTCGAATTTGTACGACGAACCATTCCCTCGCTGACACCACTCCCTTTGAATCCGTCAAGCTGTTCATTTCTGATTTTATTTTGATGTTTCATGGTGATCACCAATGAAACCATTGGTAATTGACCAACTTTGTTTGGACTGACTGGAACACGCGTGCATCATCAGACTGATAGTGATGGCTGTTCATGAAATGAAAACACAGATCGCAGCAGATTATGAAGCAGGCTGGCACTCGACCAACACAGCCATCAGACCCAACTGTTCTCCTGGTCATTTTATTGTGACTGCTCCCATCACACTCAGATATTTATTCCAATTTCGATCGTCATCAATTAGGTTGTTGAAATTCTGTCAATTCTTGGCTATCTCAGATTTTCCCACCAATAGATGATCGATTTCCAATACCGTTGTCTGTGACTATGAAGCTACTTTCCCACTCTGGTTGTATTACTGGATATATACCGAACGTCCTAAGAAGATAACTAGTAACATAATAATGAAGTCAGAACAACACTTCACTTATCCTAGTGACAGCCTATCACCAACCATGATGATTGCACTGAACTGGTATAATGTTCCTGTGGTGGTTCTGGTAGTTCTCCTGATGGTTTGTCGGGCTGTTTGCAATCATTTTCAGACGAATTATTCATTTAATAAACGCACTATCCGAGACCGATTAACCTCCGACTGGATACTGGGAAGGATATTTACGTGTTTATGATTGCTTGTGCTTGAAGGCTTGTGAAAATTAACACGAAGTCTGATCCACACACTAATTTACATCCCAAATGAGATAGGGTTAGTCTCGAGTGAATTCGTTTGCTATTGCTACATACCAGCAGACCTGTTTCAGCGGTTAAAATGTGCCTATCGATGCGTGATTTTGGTGCATCGAACTACTACTGGCCAAAAATGTGTAGTGTCACACTGCGATAATTGCTCGTCCCTCTAACCACCGTTTCATATGTTCTCAGAATTTGCACCGAGAGTACGAACAACAGTTTCCAATCCTTGACATGTCCGATTCTCCTTACCAAGCTTTTCGTAGATGCCTCATCGATATCTCTCTACATATTGAAAATAATCTCAATCATCCTAGTGTGGTAGATTCATTTGAATTAGTTAATTAAATAAGTGGTGTCAGCATATACAAGAAGAGAACGATATCCTCAGATTTGTTATCCTTTTCTTCAGTGAGGTCGCTCCAACTGAACCTATTTCTTTTTCAGCCAGTCTTAAACAGGAAGATGTTTTGAACGTGAATGTACAAACAGAAAAACACGGACGGAACAAAAAGTTGTGGAATTCAAATAGTGCTAGGTATACTGTTCTATATAGAGTTAAAATTTCTAATTATACAATAGCTCAGATCGAGAAAAACTTATCACTCTGATGGCCCAGTAAGTCATTCTATCTGTGTGAGAAACGGACCACATTTAGCTACTGGAAAATAAATTATTCAATGAGTGAGAGAGGAAACATGGAAGCAGCGACACCACAAATGTGAGAGACACGAATCAGTAAAAACCTCATTATTAAGACATTTGTCAACTCATAGGAAATTGATAGATAACATTATTCCAACAACTTTAAACTCATACAGTCAGTGCAGCAATGCCCAGTTTACTAATGCTCAAATTGTTGATTCTTAGCGAACAACAGTAGACTAGATGATGAAGAAAAGCTCGTCCCATTTTCATCTAGAAAATCGAGAAGATATAGAATTTAAAGACAGTTTGGAATCATAACTCCACCAGTATGTCAATCAGAAATTATGTAACGGAAACTTCTTCATTGGGCGAATCCAGGTTTTGTTGGTAAATTCACTTGTCACTGTGAAACTACTTATATTGAACCCACAAGCTAATCTGCAAACATCCCTCAGCATGATTACCAAATTGCGATCAAAGATAATTACTAGCTCAGTTGTCAAGCACCCGTTGAATTCAGATCACGTTACTCTACTGGTGTCGACTGTTAAAATTGCTTGAAATGTATAGCCAAATTATAGCAGAGTTGTGGTTCGCTTCTACTTCAAGTAGTTACTTCACTACTATCACGCTCACATGGCTATTGCACTAAATTTTATCTACTCTTACCTTCCTCACACTTATCAGTTGGACATTCATTCGCTGGCTTCCATTTCATTGAATGACATTTCGCATATTATCGAATTTCGAGGCCCTACTCCAACTGTCTCCTTGTCTGTTGCTTGGTCCAGCTCTATCGTCATCTAATTGTCTGAGTTAGGCTTTTTTTCTAATCTCACGTATCTTCAGTAATCCTATCAGAGTAACTGTATCACTTACATCCCTCCACCAACTCTTACATCCAATTCTAGACTACCAGACATCTTCCAGTAAATAAAAATGCGATTATGCAGCCATCGGAATATGATACCGTCATTAAGGGAAACTCTCCTCACCGAAATTTCTTCTAAATCCTCATTTGTGTTGATCAGGTCATGCTGATGTGGTGCATCTGATAATCTGACTGCAGTTTTGTAGGTGAGTTATATGTTGCAGTGAAATGAGAGTAAATCCATGCATTGAACGTGAGGTCATCACATCATCACGCTGATTTGCAGTGATACTCTGTCACGAGATCACACCACAATTGTGATTTCCGCTGTTTATTTCTTTACATGTGTATAGACATCTCTGTACGTGAAGTGATGATTCAATCTTTGTTTCTTTTCTATCAGAATGTCAAGTTCAAATGTCACTCACTGCATGAATCACACTTGACCTGCATGATGAATACAATTGTGACTTATATGTGGTTGGTGGAATCAGTGCGTGACACTCTACTTCATTGATTTATTCACTCGCCTACACTTTTGTGAGTATATAAAGCGATGCATGTTTTAGAATTGCATGAGAATTTCCTCGTGTATCAGCAGAGTTTGATATCGGTTTCGAAAATCCGAGGACGACTATTCGACTGAGTAAGTGCATGAATTCTCCACACTCTGTCCCAATACTGAACCGTTTCAATTCGTACTATGTGATTATATATCTAACATCTATTAAAATCCTCTCTCCATTTATCTTGCCTTTAGCATCACAATGAGGCTGGCTATCACTCTCCTTCTCACCTTGTTCTACGGCAAATTCCTTCTGGCCGAACCAGTAACTGTCAGTGTACACGATGAAGGTAGGTTTTCCTCATGGACATCAACGATTCATACATTTATGTATATGTATATATGTATATATATCCATTAGCCGAAAGGTAATTTGCAATTGATTGACGATGTTTTGGACAATGCATTTTGCCCTCTCATTTTCCTTCTGATATCGCTTTTCCTAACACATCGTTTTCTCTGCGTGTCGATTTGTCGATTTCTTGATTCACCACAACCATTCATTTATTCAGTTTCAGATTATCCTTTCTATTCGACGTCGTGAATGTCCTCCCGGCTGTTACCAGTTATTCATCAGAATATCTTATATGTCTTCTCTCATTGCTGTAGAAATTGCTAGGATCCATTTCTCTTATATCAGACCAGTTCGGATGGAATGTGTCGTCAGTACTATTCTGTCATGTGGCTGTCAGCCACACGTCAAAATGGATAACTATATGTTGTTTGTTTTATTTAAGGCATATCCGTCTCTTTGTGACAATTAATTCAGTGTAATCTAATGTGATTAAGCAATTAATTGTTTTGTGTTTGTATTAACTTCCACCTTTTTTCTTTATTACACGCTTGGCTGTCAAATATTCAGACAACAATTCAACCGTACGCGTTACATCGGGAAAGGAGTTAAATGGAACAGAAGAGGGAACTCGTGCTAGCGATTATCCTGCCAATGTCACTGAATCTTCTTCTGACAGTGGTGATAATGTCACAGCTGTAACTTCTGGATCGAAATTGCTTCGTGGTGGGTATGGCGGCGACAAAGGCGGCTATTCCAGTCACCACTATGGTAATAAATCCGGTGATTACAAGAATCAAAAACATGGTTACCAAAACAAGTCTGGTTCCCACCATGGTCATAATGACGTTTATGGTTCTAAGAAGGGCGGATACAAAGGTTCTCCCAAACATGGCCATCATGGTTATGGTAATTATTCCAAGGATTATAAACACGGCAAAAAGTATTACGGCGGTCGTAAAGGTGGTTATGGTAAGAAGCACGGTCACGGTGGTTATAAACGAGGTCACAAGAAAGACTATGGTAACTGTCCAAAATATGACAAAAACTACAAACATCATTATGGTGGTGGGCATCAATACTCGAAATATTGATTGCATTGTTCATGAATACAAGTGTAGAAGTGAAAATCAATCAGTGCCGTGTGAATTCAGCTTGCAAAAACACTTTGACAATTTGGAACATTTCTTGCCTTGTGTACAATTGATATTTGTCTCATATTCATTTTAGGTGTGTTCAGTTCAACTGAAATTAATTCTTATTAGAAATATACCAAGTTTGCTGATAATCACTCTCGACTTTTATCGTCCCTTGGACTCTACACTTCATACAGACTTGTGAACGTACGTGTGTAAAACATGGACACTTTGGTAGTATGTAATTCCGTGTTATTTTTGTTCAACGGATTCATCACACATTGAAACTGTGTTAATTACTGAGTGACAAAGTGTCTTCCACAGTTGATTCTCACTAGATTACATACAATGGATTGTGTTCAAAAACTTGTGCTGTGAGTGATACTGTTCCAGTGTGTCATACATCTGTTAAATGAATGAATGAGAATTTCAGATATTCCGTTAGTAGGAATAGAATGTCTTCATGAGCCTATATATTACTGATCTGTTGATGTGAGAAGTTGCGTAGCGCCTACGTGGGCCAGTAGTGATTGTCAGCCTGATCGAAGGGATTCATATATCGGAGATACATTTCGCCCACTTGTGACCTCTACTTGCGGCCTTCAACTCAGCTCGAAATGTCGAATCAACTGAAATATCCGGATTTCTAGATGTACACTTGTGCGGACTGCTTATACGGAAAATTAAGTTCTCAGGTTGCAGATGAATTTGCGTATCGCAATCTTCACATTTCCAGGTGAAATTTCATCACCGTTCACTTGGATATCTAGAATCACTCAGATCACAATATCTGATCTGCTTGGTACCACGAATGACAGTCAGGAGTGCAAGCATCATTGCATGGCGCTATACACTGCTGACTGATTGAGATGAGTGGTTTGAAATGACTGACATCACTCACTTAGATGTTACATAGACACTAACGCAAAGTAAAGATGATTTCTAGATCAGGAATTATCACATAGATTTTCATATTCCATACTTATTTAAGCATCCAAGAGAAACATTGAAGTATACAAGATTTCGATGTAAATTGATGAGGCTATTGCGTTACTCAGTAAGAAATGCTGTAGTAAGTGTAATGAATACTAGATAGAATACATCTTGTTAGTAGATGGTGCTTTCGTGTCTGTGGTTGTCCGTTATTTGTACATCGCGTCTTCAATCTCTCATCACTCCTTCCTCTCTACTTTCTCTCGTGTGGTGATTGGAGGCTTACTTTCGTTTCATGGAGTATGGTCAAGCCACAGATTCATCTCACTTATCTGTCGTCACATCGAACAACCACAATCCAATTGTCGTTTAATAGTTCTGTCAACTCAGACTAGTTTCTGTAAGATATTGGATCGGATGAATGTGGCAGAGATACTCAGTACTGAACAACCTTAGACACTTTTGCAAACATTGACCACCTAATTTCATCCTCTTCCATGAGCTGCATATATCTCGGTTGATCGAAGCATTATTTGAACTGAGACTGTCCATGTGTTCTTACCACGACCAATGCTCATAGAAGAATATTATGCATTGAGTAGTCTCTTTCTGATGACCAACACTTTCGCTTCACCTCATACAATTTCGAATTTGCATTTGATTGTCACTCTTGTTCACTAACAAACCAACATGCTTTTTATCTCCATTCACCTTGGTCATAACCAATATTTCAGTTTGTCAAAGTGTTTCTATATCTTGGCTTCTTCACCTGTTATTTCTTTTTTCATACGTGCTAGTTCTGTCTACTCCTTCACAAATGGACTAATTGCTCACTAAAATGGAACTGTCGTTGACAGTGAAAAAATAATTAATTTATTCTGTGTTTGTAAGAAACATTTTTGGGTTGTATATGCTAGGTAACCATTTGTTGACGATTGCTTCACAATTTGTCGGTGGATTCGTGTCAGGAATTATGGTTATGTTTTGCAAATGACACGGCTTCGTGTTTCTCCTTACTGATATGATTGTGAACAATAAGTTGTGATGGAAAAGTCATTCTTCCTCTTCTTCTTCTTCTTATTTGAGATTTCGTCACTGTCTTCACAAAACGGCACATCATTCAGACAATCATCTCTGAGAACTCTTCTGTAGTCTACGATATCTTCGAAATAAATTAATACAATGCATGTTAAAATGAAGTCACTAAACTGACACTAGATTCGCATACTATGAAGGGTAGAATTGCGTGCGAAAGCTGTTTAACTGTAAAGTTGACAATTATCGGAGAGGTGATATTGCTGTCGAGTGACACAAGCACAAAATGCTATGTTATGCGTTGCGTGCAGCTGTATTTCAACTGAATGAGAGCGGCTTATGTCATTGTAATCAGCGAATTAGTGTGAGGTGATCGATAATTTTGTATCCTAATATTTTGGATGTTATTATTAGACTTTTGTGTGGATCTCCCTTAAGTACAACGAAATATTTCACTTTGCATGATGCTGCACTTGGTCTTGTGCACATGCATCGAGAAATGTTGAGGATAATGTCAATTTACAGGTAGAATTCAGTCGGGTGGCATAAGTCATCGTGTAATATGTTTCATGTCATTTCATTAGTCAATTAATGTGATGTTTTGCATTAGAATAAATTCTACTCTGCGTAAGGAGTATATTCCGAAGATCTCAGAGAAATTAAAGTATGTAGTTCCTTCGTTTTGTTCGCCGAACCGGTCCGAACTTCTTTAGGGAGATAAATCAAATTAAAAATTGCAAATTTTAGTAAATAAAAGGACGTCTCTTGATTTCAAAATCTTCGTGCAATCGGTTGAGTCGTGAAAGAAGCATCAAAATATAATAAACAAATAAGTTGCATCAACTGTGATCACAATTCCACCTCAGACATGCAAATATTAGTCTTCTTTCGTTAGACACTGTAAACAGTGTGTATTGTCGCACCAAAGATTTTAGTGATAACGTTCAACTACAGATCATGGTCGTAGATCATTAATTATGTAAAAAAATATATGTGTACAGTTGGTATACAAGAGTGTGCGAGCATTGGTTTATTCGACGACAGGAGATGTCCTTCATATGTACATATATATATATATATATATATATCTGAGTTATTTTTATTTCGACTTGTTTCCCAGATGAATCTCGGAATAATTTGACGAACCAATGTTTTAATTACCTATTTCAATTTAACTGGGATTTTACGAATATAATTTGACAAATGTTCACTTCTCTCGCTGCGCCTAAAGATATTGGAAGTATTGGGTAAATATGATCACATATCATGTGAATATCTTATACTCTATTTGAGAAACTTGAGAATTGGTTAATCTTTATGAATCGTACAAGCGCGTATTTCGTCGGAATATACTGGACTGCTTCAATGACGTGACGATGACATATACAATAAATTGATTTTATTACAAAAGTGGGTTTGAATATCGTCTTACCACAATTTTCAACACCACTATATATCCCTCTTCTAAACGTCGATGCGGTGGAACGATTATCATTTATTATTGCGTAGTGTTGATGAAAGAACTAGGTGATTTGACTTAGGATCGTGATGTTATAGAATTTCTCAACATGATAATACTGTGTGCTTTCAGAAAGTGCAATGCAATACAAATATTAGTAAAGATTAGTTGATGGATTCTTAATACTCCACTCGTCTGCGAATCAAAGAGATGCATTTTGTTAGACTCCTGGACTGTAGTATTAGAAAAGATTGCCAGAATATTATATCAAACATATTAGACGTGTGCATTGATGGATAGAAGTGTGAATGAGTGCGTATCTGGCTGATATAGCTGCAAACTTATTCATGTCATCGCATTGGAATACGTGTAAAATAAAATTTCAATGAAATCTAAGTTATTCAGAAGCAAATAACCATGCTAAACTCTACATGAAATATACTTCTGTGAAAACGAAAGTTTACTATGATCTACATGCATACTGACACACTGGAGATATACTGGAATAAACAATGTGAAGAATATCGCTTTCATTTTTGTTATAAACAGGAAAATTTAGATCATTTGGGCATTCAGCACCCTGTCTGTATGTCGATATGTACTAACGTCTATAATATAATCGTTAATTATCAAAACTATACACTCGTGAAAACTATACACACCTAGTGAAACTTATGTTAACACACCCGGAGAAGTGTGAACTCCTGATTAAACCATAATCCAATTGTCTCCTTATATACACCGAGTTTCGAATCATTTCGACATCTAAAGCCACAAATGCTGATCAGCGCCATTGTCAGTTATAGTCATCGGAATTCAGTATTTAGCACAATCTTGAATTTACTGGTGACTGTCAATTTTTCTCCTGATGGTGCTCAAAGCCGCCAATGTAGCTGAACGTGTGTGCATTCACCACTAGACAATCAGGTGAATGATGAAAAAAAAGTGAAACAATCAAGTCTCAAAATATAACAACCTTATATCAAAATTCCATATTAACTCTGGTGTCTCTTCATTTGCGGATAAATCTTTCGCCTTTTACTAAAGATTTCCGTGGAGAGGCACAATACAATGAGTCTTGTCTCATTTTTTTCAGCTCTGTCTTCGGACGGAGTATTATCATGTAAAAAAGCCTACCAGCTAGACGTGCGTCGGTAGCACAGTGGTTAGGACTCTCGCCGACCATACACATGGTCCGAGGTTCAATCCCCTGCCGACGCACACCTGATATCTATGGTTGGCCTGCGAAATTTGGGCTACCGATATCTATGCTTAAAATTCCATACTTGCACCAAAAATACAGTGTGGAATCAAGCTGTAATAAAAAAATTTATTAGATCTATCACACAGTGAAACATTATTGTTTACTGGATGACATTTCGAACAAAATTTATTGTTCATAATCATATCAATTATATTCACACGACTTCGAAACTTGAAATTTATAGTTTTCTTTGCCT